TCTTGACCACTAAGGGGCATTCGGAGTCGACGGCTGCCTTCCACTGAGTTGCCTCGTCCGATTCCATCGCCGCTTTGTAGTTCCTAGGCCCAGCTTCTACCATGTAGACCGTAGAAACCATTGCGTCTGTCGTTGCGCGAGAGCTCTGTCCGTTCCGCCGACTACGTGTCTGACGTCCTTCCTGTACGTCTAGAAGCTCCCCCAGTTCCATGTCCCAGTATGCGCTCTTGCCTACTGCCTCAAGTTCTTGCAACATTCGCGGTTTCTTCTTGAGAACAACCTCAGGCTGCGCGGGGATCCCAACACCAGGTGCTTCGCTGTCGTCGTCGTCATTTTCCCTCATTATTTCCACCAGTCCCTGCTTCAACTGGTAGTCTCTCATCCAGCTCGTCGAATTCATCATCCCAAGCCAGGTGTTCCTCCCATGGACCGATCGGTGGGGTGTAGTAAGGCCACTGGTAGGCTTCCCCAGTGGACTCTGTCGGATAATACGATTCTGATTCAGCAAACACGACATCGCGGGAAAAAAGAAACTGCTTCTTCCACGGATCGTAGAGTCTGTACTGCTTCGTCGTACTAGAGTAACCAACAAACATACATTTCCTTGCCGTCTCGTCCATCTTCTTCCGAGTCTCCTTCGGTATTTGTACGTATGCCACGCAGCCCCAAACCCATAGATGATCGTAGGTGGGTTTTTGCCTGAACCACTGTTCGTAGGGAGTCTCTTTCTCAGGCAAGGCCCGCGTCAGTAGTCTGTTGCGAACATAAATCGCCGTCATAGCCGCTTCCCCCCAGAATTCTTTGAGTGCTCTAACGGCATGAAGAAGGGCCCGCGTAGTACCGATGATCGTCCTGTTTGCGTGTTCACTCACACCGTTCGACTGAGGTGTGTATGGAGTTGTTCGTTGAGCCTCTATCCCCTCTTGCCTTAGGAGATAACAGAACTCGTTGGAGGTGTACTCCCCTCCTCCATCCGTGCACAATTTCTTGATCGTTTTTCCGTGATGCTTCTCCGTAAAAGCCTTGTAGTTCTGAAAGCATGCCAATGCTCGTAACCTCTGCTTGATCAGATACCCTACTTTGAACCGTGTGTAGTCGTCGATGAACATCAGAAGGTAGACTGCTCCCCCTAACGATATAGGTGTAACCGGTCCCGTAATGTCACTGTGAATTAGCTCTAATGGTTGGGACGCTCGCGAGGCTGAGGGCACAGATGGGAAAGGCTTCCGGACCATCTTGCCATACACGCAACCTATACAGATACATCGTGGAATCACAGGCATCCGTGGGATCCCGTTTTCCTCCAGTGACAGCCTTCTTACTACATCATTCCCCAGATGTGCCAGCCAGAAATGCCAGAGCGCCATACCCTTGTCAGCCAGCGTCTCTTGTACATTCGACTCTATTCCTACCGCTAGAGCTTTTCCACAAGCCCCAGCCGGCTCAGTGCGAAGGACATAGAGCCCATTAACTTCTTCCAAGTTAATTTCCAGTCCATCGTCACGCTCTAGGGAGGCACCCTCCTCCTTATTAAAGTCCACCTGGAAGCCAGACTTCCGCAGCTGCGATACTGACAATAGGCTATTCCTTCCGCACTCTGGTACGTGGAGTACCCCTTTGACAAACAAACGCTGCTGTTTCTTGTGTTTTCTGTCCCACACCGAGAGCGTAACGTCGCCCTCCCCCAAAGCATCAATCTCGGTATTGTTGGCTACCCGAATGCGATGCGTGCCTGGAGATATTGGTGTATATCGTGTGAACTGTTCTTTCACGCCAGTAATGTGAGTACTACAGCCGCTATCCAGCAGCCATTGGCAACTTGTGGAGACGAAGTATGAGGACGTAATCACGGTAAATATGGGTTTGGTTATTGCTTCGTCACCGTCGTGCGGTGCCTGCGCCAGGGTATTGACATTGTCTCTTGCAAGTCCTTTCATCCGCTCAGCTTTCAGCTTCCTGCAATCGATCTTACGATGCCCCTTCTTCTGGCAGTAATAGCAGGTCAAGGACTCATCTACCTCAGCCTGCCTGATGCCACCACCGCTACTCCTGACTTCTCCCCCATAGCCCCCAGCCTTTCTCCTGTAGTTTTTGCCTCCCACAGCGAGAACGGTGTCACTATTCGCCTCCCGATCCCTATTCATGCTCGACTCCCGAGCTTTGATTGCTGTGATGAGTTCGTCTGGCTGGTCTGGTTTTATAATCGTCGCTTGCAAGTCGCGCCACTCGTGCCAGGATGCGGGCAAGCCATTCAAAAGGTAAAACGTTCTCTCCGGAGGTTTGATAACCTCCCCTGCCTCTCGTAGACATTCGATGATGCGGTCGAGTTCGTGGACGTATTGGACCGCCGTCCCACGGGCGTCGAGCGTGCAATCAAAAAGAGACCACCGAAAGTAGTACAACTCTAAACCCAGAGCCTTCCTGTACCTTTCCGCCAATTTATTCCATAGGCCCTTTGGATCCTCGTCATAATCATCTGAGGCGTACTGAGTGCATATGTGTGGCTCCATTGCGTTCCGGATCTTTGCCGTAATCCTGAAGCATTTCCTGAGCCATTTATCGTAAGCCAGAACGTCTGCTGGTTCTGTGCTCTCCTTGTCTGGTGCCTTCTCGCGACCGGAGATGATCCACCATAAGTCGAGTTCCTTGAGCTGATCGGACATCCTCTGCCTCCATGGGCCAAAATTTGAGTCGCCCAAGAGCGGAAAGGTAATGCGCCCCACTTGCGATGAGTCTAGAATCTGCGACATCCTGTAGATTTAGACAGCCTGCAATTGGTACAGCCTGAAGAGAAAAGAAAGCGGTTTGCCACCGAAAAAAGAATACCAAACAAATCCGTGAGAAATGTCCAGCAAAACCCCACAGTGTTGATAAACGTGTGTCAAACGAGCTATTTTCGTAGATCGTTAAGTGTCGAAGACGCAAAGGCTCATAACCTGATAGCACCGGTGTGCGTGGTGGAGAGAGGATGGGAACTTAATGTATTTCCTAGCTACGAACGTTGCTATCTAAGTGAATACATGAATGCCAAGCCGTGATGCCCACTGTGCTCACCAACCCTAACGTCCGTCCATGAGGTAACCCCAGTACTACACACCACGCGCTAACACAGGTGCGTCCTTGCCCACCTGAGAAGTATTTACTACTCATTATCTAGCAGGCAGCATGAGCACGTAGGGCCTACTAGTGCTAATCGGACGCCTATCTATGGAGCTAAAAGTGCGGGCTCATAGCGCTCATAAAGGGACTCCTCGCTAAATCCTCCAACAAACTTAGGATTTAGGAATTGATCTGAGAGAACGAGTGATATGTGTGATGGCGCCGATAAATCTATACGCCGATATATTTGACCCCCTGCACAAATAGACTACGGTAAACATACTAGTAAAGGGGTGGCCATAATGGTATCATAATGCCACCGCGTGCGCTCGTGGCCTTGAGTGTAACTATCCTTGTATAGAATCTAGTGTAGGCATTGAGCCAGATTAACGGTAAACAGACCAAAGGGCGTTTGTGCCGCCCCCCTATCAGGAGCCCAATCATTGACATATCGCATGTCGCCGACGCCAGAGGTCTGAAGAGCTAGGTGAAACCCTTGGGATGTTCGGCAACAGTAGCAAAAAAACGAGCGTCAACCTGTGCTAACATGTGGGTAAATTGGGTGGGTGCGAGTTGGAAAACCTCACGGATCGCGGAAGGGGACGCGGCAGCCAAGGCCCTCGACGGTTGTATTCACGGGAAAGAAAGGTAGAAAAGGAACAAGGGCAGTGCCAGTTTTTGTAGACGTGCCTAACGATCCAACATGTAGGAGGTGTGGACGTGGGAGTGAGGTGGTGCGTGAGGGCAGGAAGAAACAGGTATTATAGGCAGGTTGGGAGACCAATCACAGCTTGGTACCCTCCCGTGCGATTACAATACAAGGGCTGATTGATAGATATATCCGTCATGTGAGGTATGATAGACTTAGTTCACTGCACCCTGTTATCCACCTACCTCACGTGAGAGATACCTCTATCGGCCGTACTCTAGTGATCTACGAGTGATATACCCACCGGACGTTCATACATCTATTTCGCCTCAGTGCTGGGGTGTCTTAGAGATAGGTTTATGTGGATAAGAGTTGAATTCAATCTACCGGTATTTTAGTTTCAAGGGCCAAACTACCCTCCTCCGCTATCGGTAGGGTATAGTATCATACAAGTATGGCAAATGCCCATTCAACGCCTCCTACACGCCCAGCCGATGTGGGGATCTATCATATCCAGGCAATCCAGGCAATCCTGCACGTGTATAAGGTATGGTTGGCACTTATCCAAGGAAAATGCAGATGACACCTATAGCTAGCGCTCCAAATACAGGCGCTATCCAGATAGCTCAAAGAGGGACTAATCCGGCCTTGCGCTATATTGCCAGGAATCTGGTACCGTAGGTCATGAATCCAGGGGTTCGAATTGGGTCGTCATAGCCCATGCCAATAATATGTGTTCTATGGCACCGGATGTGGTTGGCCCCTGCTCTGTAGGCTACCAGCAACTGGTGGACATAGCGACGGTCACACGAGAATTCAGCTAGACATTCTGGAGGACTGGGACCATCGGTATATTTACTGTGCATGTCCCAGGCTATAAATACCCGTAGGTAGGAGGGTGTATTTTTATGAGCGTTGGATATGCTACTGATGTTTTGCCATCTTCCAAGCGATCTGAGGAAGCCCTTAGAGCACGGGGTCTCTGCCCTTGCTGGTGAAACATCACTATGAGATATGGCACGCCCGCATCTGGCCCCTTTGGAGGTGTTGTTATAGTGCCAATCAGATGGGGCTGAGCATAGAATGCTCATGGGGGCTGATTGGACTGCTTGATGTGCAACATTAGGTATTAGCTGGTACGGCTACGAGATACCCAGTGTATTGTACATACTCACCGGTGTGGAAGTTGTCTCGGTTGACTTCCGTAATTTGGATGGTGTGATTGACCGAGCTGACACCTGTGCGATTGTGATGGCCGTACGACGTGATATTCAATCGGATAAGAGTGTAGAATTATGCTGATAAAGTTGACAGTAAAACACAGTGAGAAAGCAAGAGAAAAGAGTGGGGAAAAACAACACCCAGAAACAACAGTAAAGAAGGTGGTGGAGTTGGCTGTACAGGATGGGTCCTCGCTGTGTTGTTCCTCCTCTCTCTCTCTAAGGAAGGCAAGGCCATGCCTCCAGGTGAAAAACATCCACCTGCTAAGCCTCATCCCAAACAGAAAATTCTATGGGTAAAACCCCAGAAAACATGACCAGAAAACCCCTGAAACCTTTCTCACGTCACACCGGTACGGAGGAGAGTTGAGTTCCATGTAGGGTTGGCGGTTGATGACCCCTTGCCCGCTATTTCTCCTCTTTGAGCTCGACTTTTTTTTGTGGGGGGGATAGGAGGAAAAATTGGGGTTCGGGCGGTAAGAAATAGACGCGAATCCCATCCACGGTCGTAGACAAGGGAATCTCGAGTCCGGTTGAAGTTATGATTCCCCGCCAGCCGATACCAGAGAAGGGAGTATCCGGCAAACAGATCGAAATTGCCATTCCAAGCTCCAGGCTAAAAACAGATTGAAAGAAAGAAAGAAGAGAAAAGAGAAGAAAAGGGAGAGTACTTGCAAAGCGACCACCCCCGGGGGTATGGCCAATCCATTTGCAAAGCACGTACGATATAAGAGGAGAGAAACGCACCGCGTCCAATCACAAAATCTCACTCGCGCAACGCCCCCTGGCCCCCACCGCCCAAAGTGCCCAGGCAACCCACACTAAACACCACCCCAAGGCCACGCCCAAAACCCCTACCACGAGCAGGAATATACCCAGAACCTTGACACCCTTCCTCTCTCTGACGCCCTTCACCCCGGTATCCACAACCTTCCCCGCCTTCGTCCCCCTCCCCAGCCTCGGCAAGTAGGAGAACTCGAACCCTGTCTCACCGCCCAGTCCGGTCTCCCCGAGAACTATTGCTTTCCACATCATTCTCCGCGCAGCGGTTCCATGCCACTTGTCGAACCAGGGGACGAATCGTGCGGTGTATCCGAGGCAGCAGTTGAATATGCACCGCGCCGAGACTAGTATCTTTGAGGAGAACTGTGCGGGAGGGAGGCCCAGGGCGTCGCAGAGGGCGGGGGGGCAAACCCAGTGGACTGATGCGACGAGGTAGTCATAGGTTGGGTACGTGGGGGGTTGGCAGGTCATGGCGGTGAGGATGTTGCTTGCAAGGGTGGCCGAGGTGGGCGTTGGGGAGATTTGGGTTGTGACGAGTGTGTCGTAGTAGGCCCTTGCCAGGGCGGGGGTGGAGAAGGGGCTGGAGGCGTTAGTGGTGGGAGGGGGGGAGGGGAGACGTGGGAGTGGGCTTACTGCGTCGGACACCCAACATAGTGCGCTACCAATCTCCAGAGTGCGATATAATCCTCGGTCCTATTCCCCATCAGCGCTCACTCTTACCTTCACCTAAGGTGAAAAAGCACATACTCCCTAGAACTCAAAAACAACCCCTGCTTCGGCAATGCCCCCCAAACAAGATTCGAACTAAAACTCGCCACCGTTCCAATTGAGTCCAAATCATTGACGGGAACCCCAAACTCTTTAACAGAGTAGTAGCCGGGATTCCTCCTCTCAATCTCCAAGATCCGCTTCCGCACGGCAGCGTGCAAGAGTCTGACTTTCACACTAGAAATCTGGCCTGCGCCACCGGGCTTTATTGAGTCCAGAGATTGGGTGCATTGGAGTATATGCCTTTCCCACAATCAGCAGCCGGGAAGGGGGAGTTGGAAGTAATGGAAGATTACTGCATGGTCTCAAACATCCTCCTCCTAGCAACACCCGCCGAGAATCCTCCCGTCCTGTATAGTACCTCTGCGATCCGGGAGGCGCCCATGCCGCCTAACAGGCTCATATAGCAAAGCCCCGCCAGCATTGCGCCAGAGTATCTGTAGAAGACGTCCTGCCCGCGGGATATTTGCTCCCAATCAACCCATTCTGGCACTGTGTCTACCTGCTGCCACAAGCGCGATAAGACGGAGTGGGTGTTGCGGTGTTCCTTGAGGGTTGTATAGAGGTCCTTTGGGGGGGATGTAGGAGAGGTGGGAGGGGAAGGGGCCCGGAGGGGGGTTAGGAGGTCTAGCGCTTCGTCTGCGAGAGTGTCCCAGGACTTCTGGTGAGCGGCCAGGACTTGGGCGGTCGGGTGGAGGGGGGTTGGTACATATGTGTGGCCCCAGGCGCTGATTGTCTTCTTGCGAGTACGGAACGAAGACATTACGCTGGAAGGGGGGACGTGGGAACGAGAGAAAGGAGAGATATGCCAAGATGGGGGCAGTGGCGGTGATCCGGTTAATTCCTTCGCGGATCGCATTCAGGGTATGATACCTGGGCCGACACAATCCCCCAAACCAGTTATTAGGGTCGAGGGGGGCGAGTGGGATGGGGAGGAGCGGTCACAGCTAATCATGGCAAGGCATATATCTCCATCTTCTTGAAGAGTCTCTGCTCACAACCCTCCCTCAAAGTCAATCCTATGCCAGATTAGCCCCTATCAATCGATAACAGTCTGGCCTCGGAAGCCTATAATACGGTATCCGCACGGGATCTACCATCATACCGGCGGATGCGGAACCCAGCACCAGTTTACCCAGACCACGTGACGTCATAGGACACCATTTCACCCGCCACTAGCCCCAAGACGGTTGAAAACACCGAATCACACTCTATGAACTACCGGTACGAGTAGTGCAAGCGCCTCAAGGAGGAATCATTCCGACGTTCCAAACTTCGAATCCATTCCATTTCACCCGCCCCCCGCCTCCAAACTCCTAGGTAGTACAATACTTTATACATCCTCCCCAAGCCCACTTACGTTTAATATAAAAAAACGAGAAGAGACAAGACAGAAAGAAAAATAAGAGCACAAGAGAAACCCGAACCAAATCCCATCACCCAGAAAAGATACAAGAAAAAAGTAAAAGCCATCCCAATGCAAGTAAAGAAAAAGCCGGCAACACAAGGAAACTAATGTACATTAGATATTGAAAAGAAGGTGATTAGGACTGGCCAAGTAAAAAAAAGAAAAGAAAAGAAAAAAGCTGGAAGCAGAGTTCTTTAATCAGAAGAAATGAACACCAACCCCGGTAAAGAAAAAGAGGAACGAAAGCCTGTGCTATGAAATAAAGTCAAGTAAAACCCCGTTAAAAGAAAGTAGATATGATGCGATAAACAATCCAAAGAAAAAGGATGTGAGCCCTGCTGAGAATATAAGTGTGTAAGAGAAAAAGCAAAGAATTTAGCCCTCGCCCGATGTGTCCACCGGCTTTTTCCTATCCTTGGGGAGTTTGCCTCTCCCATTTTCTAGTCTATCACTCACCAGCGATACCAGTCGCTCTGAATACTGGTCTAACAGCTGCGCCATGATTTCCGATCTACCGTCTTCCCGTGATGATGTGCCACGAGTGAAACCGTGGGTCCTACCCCGGCTCTTACACTCTCCCTTCTCCGAGTGTCCCAACTCCTTAGCCGTTAGGGCCAGCTCCCGCTGCAAATCTTTGAGCACCTCTGGTCTTATACCGTCTTTGGAGCCAGGGGAGTCAATCTTCTTACGAAAACTTCTTAAACTTCGTGAGAGGCTTTCCGCCAATCCATTCATGCTTCCACTTCCACTATTAGGATCATTCGGACTTCCTATGCTCTTCCCACGAGGCCTCGTCATGGAACTTCCCCGCCGCTGTGGTGGCGGTGGCAGATTTTGATTCTTGGTCGGGTCCGGTGGGCTAGGTGTGCGATGTCGAGTGCTCTTGCGGCTTTCTCTTCCGGTGCTTGGGCCCGATGGTGTTGAGATGGTTGGTGTCATGTTCGGTGTAGTAGTAGTGGCAGCATGCGTAAATACTAGCGCCGATGGCGAAACTGAGTCCTCCGTTGTAGTCGTTGAAGGCGTTGGCGGCATGGGTGTATTTGGACCGCCTTTCGAACTCATCGATCTATTCATCCCGTACGCCGATGTCTTCCGCCTCAGCGTTCGGGGAGGGGACGATGGGACGTGGGTGGATAAAGGCCTAGGATTTGGCGTCACTGGGGCCGCCTTGGGCGAAAAATCCATGAGCTCACCCCGGCTCAGCACCCTTCGCAGAGGCGGCCTTGTTGCGGTCATCTCCTTCCTAGTAGAACTGCTATCCACAGACTCCGGGGAAGCAGCAACAACAATAGTAGCAGGTTCCGGTTCCTGGGCTTTAGGATTAAATTCCCAAATCATGATTGTGCCGTCTGTGCCCGTACTGATAACTATCGTTTGACCCATCTCCTCTCCCTTCCGCGGGTCCCTCTCCAATAGCGCGACATCGCTGACTCCCTCCGTATGTCCCCATTCTTTATCAATGAGATTTCCAGCTAAATCGTAAAGGCGTATACTCTTATCCGTTGTCGATATACCAGCAAGAACTCTAGATCTCGGGTATCCCTTGTCCTTTCCAACCGTTATAGCGTCCATCACAACTGCGTCACCCGATTCATCCGTACACCGAAACGCATGAACACTCTTCCCCGCATTTAAATCAAATTTGTGAATCTGTCGATCCATCGTCGACACAATTAACGTGGCATCCGAAAGAGGAGTCATATGTACCGGTGAGGCTTTGGTCGTTAAAGTCTTAATCGCCAGGTACGCCATAGCAACAGTTCCATGGATCGCCTCTCGACGACAAAGTTCCCTGATAACTATGGTCCGATCTGCCGAGCATGACAAAAGTTTATTTCCGTTTTCCAGCAACAAAACCCTTGATACGCTAGCCGTGTGATCGTCCAGTGTTTGAGCCAAAGACCAACCATTGCCGGTCTTGGTGAACACTTGTACCGTGCGATCTCTCGCACAACTAACGATAGTGGTCTGGTGAACCGTGATATCCATGATTTCCCCACTGTGCGCCTTTGCGACATATTGACAGGTATGGCTTTTGCCATCGATTACTCTGCGATAACAATTAGCCTGGTCCGGATGCGTCTTCCCAAAACCCATACCTTAACACGCCATACTTGTCTCCAGTGACAAAGATATCACCACGATCCGACACTCGCACAACTTTCAACTCGTTCGAGACATCATCCTCGCTCTCCATAGGCTGCTCAAGTTCCACTTGAAATTCACCCTTCTGCGCACCCTCCAAACTCCAAAACAAAACAGCACCACCAGCAGACCAAGTGAAGAAAAGGCCCTGAGAACTGTGATTGGCGGGTAATAATCGTACGCCTAAACATGCATCCTTGTGTGCAGGCAATTCACGAATCATCGAGTTAGGCACTGGCACGCCATCCACGGTAGACATATTGATAATCTTCAACGAGTGATTGGAATCCAGGGTAAACAGGTGTCCAAGCATGCTGGCCATAGCAAGCACATGCGCCGGTCGGCATCCATAAGGAAGAATGGGCGAACTAGATCTCGACGATGACGGTGATTGCGGTGGGGTCGAGGGCACAATCTCTTTTAATACCAACGCCCTAAGGATAATCAGCGCACGACTCTAGGGCACTCGGGATGGATACAAACCGAATGTTGCCATGTTTGCCCGCTACCCAGGCAAACTTCGACTCTGCATCAACAGTGATACACCCAACTCCAAATTCAGCACTGGCAACCTTGGAAAATCGAAGACCGCTCTCATCCAATAAGCAGATGTCACCCTTCTCAGTGCATACCAAGGCCTTGTCATCCGAGATGCCAACAACACAACTCATGGTCGAATCTGACATGGCACCCAGCAACGCGTTCCGCCCATGCAATACCCTAGGCCCAGGGCTTACAGGTTTTTGCTGTCTGCGCATAAGTGATCGCCCATGACGTGACTTTCTAAATTTTGGACTAACCTCGTCTTCAGTCTTCCAAATCTTCACATGCCGTGTTCCAACACTGTGAAATGTCAATCAACGCGCAGAAGCCTCAAAAGCGGGATATACAAACGTTACAAGACTCTTGCCCATCCATGCTATCTGCCGGACAAAACTTGTGCACTTGTTGCTAGAATGAAGGCGAACAAGGCTACCTCTAGCACCATTCAAAGACCACACGTAGACAAACCCGCTTTCGTAAAAATCAGCATGCGCACCATCGCCCGATGATGATCGCTGGGAATATCTTACTCATTCATTGTACCAATACTAGCCAAATATTTCGAACAAGGACTAAATGCGACACCCCGCACGCCAAAGGTATGCTCCGACATGGCAGCGACGGGTAAATCACTGGGGACATCTTTCGATAACGAAAATATCAAAATCCTAGGGTTATATCCAGTCTGGCGAAATTTCAGCACGATTCCATCATCATCCATTGCGAGTGAGAAAGTGTGGGGTGAAGAAAAAAAAATACCTCTCCAACAGCTATCCATTTTCCATCCGGGCTAAAGGATAGACATGTCGCAGCCTTAATCCGCTCTCTAGCAGTCCACGTTCTTGAGCTGGGCGAATCCTCGCCGGAAAAAGGCGAAGCATTGTTCGAGAATATGTGTCCAATGCCGGCATCCCGTAACGATGCGGCAGTCCGATTCCTCGTCTCCTGCGAGTAGCCACCCGGTGTAGATGGTGCGTAGGATGATACAGCCGAGGTGAGGGTGGGAGCGTTCGGCCTAGCTCGAAAAAATCTCTGCGTGATCTGCAGATCGTCGTCGAGCTGAACAACCACAGCGGCAGCGCCCGCGGTGTATGCAAACGACCGCGAAGGAGGATGGCTGTCAAAGGCAGTTGTGGAGCATCCTATCACGCGCTTCAAAGCGAGTCCGCAGTCGGAAAATGGTGAAGTGGAGGAGGACGAGGAGGACCCAGAGGATGAATTCTGGCGCCCTTTGCTGGTAGACCGTATGCTGGTACTGTTGCGGGACGACAAAAAGACGGGGGAGTTTGTTGGGGTGAGTTTCAAGTTGGGGATGCCCCCCAGGTTCTTGGATGTCGGTGTGAAAAAACTTGCCATAACTATCCCTTCAACACCGACTGTTTGTCCCCGGAATGTTGATCAATTGAAAAGGTTTTTTTTCTCTTCGATTTTTTTTTTTTCTTCCTGCTCCGATGGAAAACCAGCGGGCAAACAGAGGCAGAGGGGTTAAATGGGCTGAAAATTGGGGACGGCACTAATTATTCATCGAGCCGGAAAACGAAATAGTCTCGTATGCAGGCGACATGCACGAATCGGTGTTTTCAGCGGGCGGAGTAGGCGTCAGCAGTAAGGCTATTGCCAAAGATCCGTACCATGCAAATCCCCCGTCCCAGGGTAATTGAAGCGAGTGAGGGGGGGGTGCGGGGATAGAAGGGAGAAGTAGAGAAAGAGAAAGGGAAAGAGGGAAAGAAGTGATAATTCTTTTAAATGATAATAGATGTTGAATATCGACTATTCATGTGGGAATCTGTGACAACGAAGTAGTGACACTTGGAACACTTTTTTTTTTTTCTCCCTCTCTCTCACTCGCACACACACACCCGATGGTGGTTCACCTGCTGCAAGATGTATGGATAAAGATAGTATGCAAGGCAGGTGGAGGTAGGGATTGTGGGCATGTACCCGTATTGGCGGAGATCAAGTGGTGAATCGTGGGTGTATATTTTTGTGGTGTGGGAGAGATTGCGAGTTGAAAGGAGTGAATGATCTGCTGAGGTAACGTAAGTAAAGAAATCCTTCTACGTGGAAACCCTCTGTAGGCAGGGGCATACGGCCGGGCTGTAAAAAAAAAAAGTGACAGGCAAATGTTGATTATTACGATGATGATTGATGATAATGAATCAGCATGTAAGAAAGCCGCGGGAGGAAACAACGAAACCAGGGAGTGGACAGCCGGAACGACAACTACTGTAGCGAGCGGATAGAGAGCGGCGAGAAAGAGCGAGGGGGTGAGCGAGCGAATGTGCGTGTGTGGAAAGGGAGAGCAACGAAGGGCAGGAGCAGTAGCAAAAGCAGAGTAGCAACGCCAAAAAAAAAAAAAAAAAAAAAAAAAAAAAAGAAGGAACAGAACACCCCCTTCCAACACTCAAGGCTGCCGGTGGAGCAGGATGGATGGATGATGCGCCCCCAAAGATAGTCCCAGCAGCAGCAAGCCTTGAGCGGCGCGAGCGTGCGTTTGCAGAGCAAGGGGCAGTCGTCCAAGTTCGAAACCTCAAAATTTCATGACTAAGAGAAGGGAGCAAGAATATCACGACCGGTAGACCATCCCAAAGACCGGATAACCTTGAAGGCAGAGAGAGGGCAGAGAGAGGGCAGAGAGAGAGGGAGATGGAAATTTCGACAGAGCAAGACCCGGGAAAGGAGAGGGAAGGGAGGATGGAAAGCGAGACAGAAAAAACAGAAAACAAATGACCGAAAACGGGGCCAGAAGACACAAACCGAGTACAGTACGTATGATATGATTGAAAATTAGGGGAAATAAAAAAATGCAGCCGGAAAAGTCAATGAATCTCATGGCTAATGCGGACCGTGCGCAAACCAGATCTGGTCTGGTTCGGGTGGAGAAGAGTCTGGGAATCTGGGACTCTCGCTTACTTCTGGTTGGCCAGTGACCCACCCCAGTCCAAAGAGGTTGGCCATCCAGAGGCCGGTTCCCATCCCCACGCTGCCCACGGTTGAAAGACGCATCACGGGCAGAAACTTCTATCCGAGAATACTGTAATATGAATGACCCCTTCATCCCTACAAGCACATCTATTTTCTCATCTCACCTCACGATAATCTTACCCGCCCGCCTACCCTAACATTCAACTCGTCGGCTTTCCCCCCTTCACCCTCTCTCCATGACGTCTCACCAGCACTCTGCTTAAATTTATATCCAAGGTTTGAGTTTTCAATCCGTTTCGACTCCCTCGTAGTCCTCGCTAAGGGTCAGGGGTCAACCTTATCCAAGAGCCTCAATAAATTCAAACAACAAAAAAAAAAAATTCCAATCGCGGTAATTCAACCTCCGCTTCCTGACACCCTCATGCACTTCGTGCCCCAAATTGAACCAGTCAGCATTGTCGCAGCTAGCCGCGTCTGTGTTTGTGCACTCGTACCCTGCTGTGCGCGAATGGTGTGTGTATTGTGTCTCAAATGGAGTGATGGAAATTCCTTTTTCAACCCCCTTTGATATCTCTCCCCGGTAACCGCGTTTACCAAAGATAGCAGCATCCCGCCCCGCGCAAAACACCGGCAAAAAAAAAGGGGGGGGGCCTTGAAATCCGAGAGATATGCTGATGGTAGTCCTGATTCTTGAGTTCGGTTTTCTGCATCAAAAAAAAAGTGCAAAAACAACCCTATGGTACAGAACCTCATCATATCAATGGCATGACGGAGACCAACACGCTGCTTACCGCCGGTCCCTGGCACTGCGACCCCTCCTCCCCGTCCACAGGTATCACACAATTGCTCGGAGCATAGTGAAAGGGCGCATTGAGGGTGACACTCGGAGAGCAGGACGGAAAAGTATCATCTGACAAACCAGTCTCGGTATCAAATTCGAGCGGTACGGCACCCGGGTTCTACTCGGTTTGATCATCAGACCATCGTTTCATCCAACTCACTCTTAGCGAGTATCGGCAGCCAGCTATCGGTAACAGAGCCCCTTACGGTATCCCGCTATCAACAATTATTAATCAATCATGGAGCGTCACTCGCTTTAGTGCTTCATCCTGTTGCTGAAAATACTAGCGGAACGAGGGAAGAGGGACCGGGGGGCTTCGAGCTGAAGCAGCACCGAGCAAGGTCCGGGAAACATCGCACCCCAGGATGGAGCTACCAAGGGGATGCGGGTCCCTAGGCAGCTGTGCAGGCTGGAAAGTAATCTACTCAACCCTGTTCTCAAAACGCCATCCCACGATATTGTCTCGTTTATTCTCCTTCAAGGTGGGCTCATCAAGCATTCGTCACAAAGCAAACAGCTGGGTTTTCTATTAGCCTTATTCTAAAGTCAGACTCAATTTCTCCTTTGTCACAGTTCAGGTCTTAGGTATCGAAATAAACACGACTGTGCATCGACACATCAACAAGTAAACGTGCTTTAGTGGGATATAACCCGCAGTGTACTCTCTCCAGGGACCTTACAATCCAAACAGCTCCGCCGAAGCAGTAGGCTTCCCGGTTGCGCTTCTTGCGACGTGAGTAAATAGCAGCAATCACCGTTTGTTTCTCCACGTAGGACCCACCCATCAGCATCTTCTCTAGTAGCCCAGGCGGCCATTTGTTGACTCTATAGGCTTGCTCCATCGAGCTACCATATTTCTATTTGCTGTAGAAAGCCAGTCCTTCGCACCTATAATTGCCTGAGCCCGGGCGATACCCTTTGTAGTTAGTTTTGGGCAGCGTAAGAGCAATACTTGGAAGGGCCGAAAGTATTACGTACCCACTCCACTTCACATTTCGAAGTCTTCGTTAGCCCCCCCCCCCCCCCCACCTGCCATTTATTTGTTGATATCCTTCTAGCCTCCCTTCTAGAGAACTCGTTCAAATTGAAGGGTTTTGTTTGCTATTTTCATCAGGGACCATCGCCACATCTGATATACTCGAGCAGTCAGCAGTCTCTCTTCCTGAAAACATCGATATTCTTACTCCTCATTGCCCGGTACCCCCCACACAGTAACAATGCATCAATTCAGTAGATTTATTGCAAGACCAGAGATACATCACGTTTAATGGGTAAAGAAGGTCACGGATTTACCGTGGGCGATCCAGACCAAAAGTCAGGCCTTTGAAGAGGGTTCTGGGTTTATCGTCGGCGGATCCTACGCGAGACAGCGAATCTCGACCGTCTATCTGTAACAAGTTGGATGCCAGAGAAGAGGAAACATCCCGTTCGAGAGTCTTCAGAAGCTGCTTCGAGACGTTGGATGACCCATCATGATTCCAGGATTATTATATCGGTCAGCTATATCCATCTTTTGATACAATTCTCGACCGGTTCGGTCAAGTTAAGTTACTCATGAAATGCTTCTCAGGCCTCAGGAAACCAAAGAGAAAGAGTCAATGGGTTAGTGGGCTTATCGTAGGAGGGTAAGCACCGTCGTTGAAGCAAAATCAAAATCTTGAGGAATGGATAGGAAAAGGATACGAGAAGAGGGCAAAAGTGGAGGAGGGAGAGGAGAAAAATAATCAAATCCAGAGAACACGAACACGACGGCTTCCCAGATGTTGCGGGATACGCGGGGATGATCAGCGAAGTCGTTGCAATAGCGTTAAAGATTATGATGACCGATGCTCTACAAACGGTGGGCTTGATTAGGTAGAGCTCGTGTGTCCGGAAATGATCCGTACCACTGTATTGTACAAGTACTGCATCAACTTACCACGAACTGGCACCAAGCCTTCACCCTCCCCCCCGCCAAAATCATTCCATCCAGACTACCGGTACCGTATACCTCTCCATCCCATCCCATCCCGACCCCTTTCCCCCAAATCTCCCACATATCCAGAACAATCGCCCCCCCTCACAGCCCATCACTCGACATATGAACCAACGACATTTCCACCACCAAAAACCCCGCAAAAAGAGGAAAAAGAAAAGAAAGAAAGAGCTCAACATTTCCACAAATGCACTTCTTCTTCTTCCCGGAACGAAACCAACCCCGTGATCCGATTACTGAATCCCAGCTGAGCCAATGCGAGAACGCAACACGAACAGCCCCAACCAGTCAGCGAACCAGCGAGCCCAACAACGTACTGTACTGTACCACGACATAACCGAACTCACATCAACCCCCCCCTCGACCAATGAGCGCGGGAGATTTTGCCACCGGGTTAATGTAAGGTAAGGCGAGGCAAGGGTGAAACCTAGGTTTAAATGATACCTTCCTCTACGAGTAACCGACCCGAACCGGTTCGGTGCTGCCTGCGAGTACCGGGGGTTAAGGGTAAGTGAGGCGAAGGGGGTATGATTGGGTCGCCACTCAGACTACTCAAATTAACTATTATAGTATTACGCTAATACTAAATGGTTTTAGCAGGATTGCAGAGTTTTCAAACCGCCTTCAGGTCCATCAACACCCATTCCGATATGTCCTATATTCAATACCAATACCTATATCCCACGAATGAGTCCTTTAAAATGAAGAATAAAGGACGACGAGAAG